GCCTTGGTAAGAACATCAGGCCACTGAGCCTGACGAGGAAGAAATTGAAGAGTGAGTGCATTATTACTGGTAACAATTAAGCTCATGATTTTATGAGTTTTACTTTCATCCCCCTTGGTAAATTCTATACCCTTTTTTTTGTGCCAAGGCGTTGGTTAATGGATCTGCAAGATTATCACTAATTCACGTTAATAATTCCATCGCTGAAATGATGTAGAATAGATGGTGAAAGCATTCAAAGAGGAGTTCGAAAGCGCGCGCAAGTGCAAATCCCGGAAAGCTACAAATTTGGGCCCCAAGCTCAAATTTGGGTCCATGACCAGTCAATTCGAAGAGAACAGCATCATGAGTAAAACTCATTGCTTTGCTATGATTTATGGGTTTTTTCAGGCATTCGAGATTGTTTAATAGCCCAAAATCCAGTTTTTGTGTTTTATCAGTTTTTGGAAACTTTGTTAATTCCTATTTTAATTTCTTGTTTATTCCTAGGGTTTATAGGGTATTTAAGCAATTTTAACACGCTGAGGTTTATAGGGTATAGGGAAACTTTGTTATTTCAGCTTATCAATAAACTTGAGCTTCCCGCATTTCTTCCTAATGGATTCCAGAGTAGTGCATCCAATTGTCACGCTGCATCATGAAAGAAGATCTTACAACATTGTACTTTCTTCTTATGAGACCTACCATTAAAAGTTTTAAAATTATTTTTCCAAATTTAATGAATTAATCGGAGAACTTAAGTGTGAAACTAACTAAGGTATGAAAATGATAAGAAAACCAAAATTTTTGGCATAAAGTTGATGCGAAAAAGACTTTAGGTAGTAAAGGCTGAAAAATCAGTAAACTTCTTATACCCAGGCAGAAACCCCCAACCCGACAGTTAACAGTTTCTAATGAACATTGAATACTCTGTCCTAGAAAGTGAAGCAAATCATAATTCTGAGATTCATTAATTTGAATGAAGATTACACTTCAGCTTATATACATACAACTCAGTCTCACTTAAGCTGAGATCATTACATTAAGTATATAAGCTGGGATGACTTGACATCAGAAGCTAATGTAGAAACTCTATAAAAAAGCACCTACTTCTATCAACGTCAAATTGATGTCGCATGTGCCATTTTCACCTCTTTCTGTAGGACATATTTTAATTAACATGACACCCATCTGATGTGTACAATTAAAAAACAAAAGAATGACTTCTCTATGATTGTTTTGTCAATATTTATAAATAGACGAAGAAAAATATGTTTGAGGGTAAAATTACCCTAAGCCGAGCTTCATATGAATTGAAATTTTATTCAGAGATGAACTTCTATTTTGAAGCTAATTAGGAAGCCTACTTCTACAAGAATTTGGTGATCTCCAAATTATTATATAAAGCAAACTCTCCAACTTGAGAAGGGTCCCTCCTAGTTCCTTCCACATCCTCCCGCTAGAACTCAATCCTACGATATCAATGTCCTATTTTATTTTAAATGAGTGTTATGGGTGTAATATTGGGATATGGGTTGTGAGGATCGAACAGTTTGTACACCTTTGTTCTTTGTTCATTCAATAGTGGAAATACCCAACACCCCGTGGACGTAGCCCAATTATAATTGAACCACATAAATATTTTGTGTCGCTTGATTAGATGTTCTTGCTTAATTTCTAGGGGATCAAGGGTGGAACCAGGAATTTTTCAATGGGTGGGCTAGCTAAAGTTCTTAGCTTAAAATTTAATGATTTTTTTTTTTTGGTACATACAGTCTTAGTAGAAATAAAAGTAAACATTAAATTATATAAACCACGCTAGTTCATAGCTCCATAGACTAATTTTCAATAAATTTTAACATAAATCAAATAGGATTTAACACCATAGTGGATTGAACATCTTTCATATCATACATGAAAATTTGTTTTATGTAAAAATATTGACTAAGTATGAAAAATAGTTTTTCGGAATAATTATTTTCTCAAGATAATTTTTGGCGGCTTTTATTCCTCACACATCAAATAAGAAAACTTGATTTTATGGGATTTTAGTATGAAGTATATATTGACTTAATGAGCCATCATTTTTAGCCTAAATCGTATTTTGCACTAAAACCGATTTTTCATATTTTGATTTGGTGGAAATTTGATTTTCTAGTATTTTTATTTGAATCCAAATGGTAAATGGAGTAATATAAAAATAAATGAAAGTAAAAGGACAGAGACATTTACTTAAATGTTGAAAATGAAAATAAGGTAATCTGTACACCTGGAGTGCACCATCACCAGCTAAGCAAATGGGCAATTTGTGTTAATGTATGAATTTTGATTAATTCTTTTGGCTTCCCTTGACAATTTTGTAATAGGATTTTTATTGTAGTTATCAAGCTCAAAGTTTAGATTAAGAATAGCATCTCTAGGTGTTCTTAACTATCATCTATCCTATGGAGGTTCAAGCAAATTGACAAAGGTAAATCATGCATTAAACTGTTTTCATAAATGATGACTAGTCATCCTTGCTCTGTAGGATTTCCAACTGGTTAACCAACTGTTTTATCCTATTCTCTTTTCTCTCTCTGCTGCCATGTGTTATTCTGACCTAAGTGATTCTTTTGTTTGTAAAGGCTAGTGAATTCCTCTTTTGGCAGCCGTCTCTTTTGTGTGGAAGTTTTGGAAAGATTGGCTTGCCATCTTTCTCTTCTGCTTCCTCAAGAGTGAACCATATATTTCATCTATGAGTTTTTCTAATTGATTTCTTTTTGAAAAACTGCTTTTGAAATATGAATCTGCATCTAGCTATTTAAATCATTCTCTCATTTATATCTAGGTCAGATTCAAGACTGATTTCTTCAAGAGTATGGTTTCTTGAAGAAATTGGTTATTCTCCTTTGAATCCAAATTTTGGTTTCGGTCTGAGTTCGAGCTTGCAAGCTAGTGCCATGGGATGAATGAGCTGGAGAAGGAGTTGCCAGTGCCATGAAGAACTTAGCTTCAAGCTTTGCTAAGTTGGAGAAGAAGATTGCACAAAGGAGGTATAGCTCATCTTCCTAAATAGATCTAGGTTTTGCTTGAGCTTGCTTGTATTCCTTTGTAAGAATCTTTTTCTACTTAGTGGATTGCCTAGTCGGTTGATGACTTCCAGTTTTTCCCAATGGTGGGTTTCTGGGTAAACAAATTCTGTTTTGCATATCTGTAAATTTTTCTGGGTTTGTGTTCTTGGTGGTTGACTAGTCATCTTTATCTGCTGTTTGCTGTTTACTTGATAATGATGACTTCACACATTTTCACCATAGTTGTTGCTAGCACAGGGGATGCCTAGATTGACGGGTCCTTCTGAGTGCCTAGGTTGTCACTAGCAATCTTCTAGGGCTGCAGGTACCTTCTGAGTGCCTAGGTTGTCTCTTGATTGATTGTGTTGTTGTGTCTTGTTTGTGCCGCTAAATTTACCCCTCGTCACCTAAGTACCAATTTCAATTTAAAGCACCTATAATGATTTTTCTGGTGAGGATAGGTGTAGCTGCACCTCCTTGCACCTTAATAAGTTTGCCATTGATTGGGCTAATATTGAAAACAAGTGAAATATATAGATTGTATTTTTTTTTTCCTTAAAAAACCATACTGGGCTACAGCCTATTGTAGCCCTTAGTGTGGTTCCGCCCTTGTAGGGGACCAAGTTGGTTTGAAAAGATTGTCGACCTTGATCTCGAAACTGACATTTTCTGTTGAATCAATTTTAGGGATCAACAAAATATAACGAACTTCAAATGACAATAAATATTAGAGGCATGCAAATCTTCTTGCAAGTGGCAGGACTAGCCAAAATAAATAATAATAAAAAATTGACAGGACAAAGGACCCTCCTCAATCAAGAGGGGCAAACTAGAATAGACAAATCGTGCCGAGATAAAGAGTAAAAGAATGGGCTACCTGCTCTTCTACGACTAGAAGGTTCGTTGAATGATGGATGGTGGTGAGTCGATGATGATGGATGGTGAAACCTCAAAATATGGACAAAACAAGTCAGACCTAAAAAAAGAGCAAAAGTGAATGAAAACCCCAAAATATGGACAAAACAATTCCCCAAAAAAAAAATCACTTTTGCTCCTTAGTTTGTTGAATTTTCACTTTTGTTCTTGTTAGTTCAGTTATGACAATTTCACTTATGTAATTTAATATCCTTGAATTGTTTGATATTCTTGCAATTCAAGGACACGTATAAATTCCTATTCAATTTCATGATGGAGTAATTATGTGTCACTGACATGCATGAGTGTTTTGGACGGGATTAGAATGAATTTGATAGAATTTGTACCATGTCCTTCTTTTGGACGAAATAACGTGTCCTTGAATTGCAAGGGATTTTGACAAAAATTGGAATTGCGGGGACTAAACATGGAACAAAAATTACTATTTCAAGGACGAAACAGTCTATATTTTCTTTTCTATTTTTGTTCATATATATAAAGCATGTAACATAATCTCTCTTCATTTCGTTTTTGACCAAAAAATGAAAGCAGTACATGTCGTGTTTATTTGGGAATTGTGGAGGAAATGAAGATTTTCTGTCGTTTGCATGACGATGACACGATCGTAAGTGATTTTACAAGCATTTGAAAACGATTTATTATTTTTATTTTTCTCCTTATTTATTTGTAGTTTTGTTTTTCAAACTATTATCAAATCAGAATATACAACAGAACCACTTTACACCCAGCCCAAGAAATCGACATCTATATATATGAACTATCACAATCTTCATTATTAGGTTGAACAAATAAAACAGTCATTTTTATTTATTATTCACATATATTTAAATAGATCTAATTGAATATCTAAACTAAATTTGTATATATTTATGAGGATTTTACGTCAATTATTTTCGTCTAAAAGGTGAAAGCTAATTCTAATTGTGGATCACACAAAACTTATATCTTTTATTAATTAAAAAAAATTAAAAATTACGCCCGAGAAAGAAAGAAAAAGAAGAGGAGAAATGTTGTCTTCCCTTTGTAAGGAGAGCAGAGATGCACGTACGTAAGAATCTTTTTATATACATACATTTGTCTGTATATCATATAGAGACCCTTTATTAGACAGGTTGTGTCTGGAGGCTTCGAGAAGTGTGCACGACGTATCCCCACAAAATGGAGGGTAATAATTTGTTGAGAGTGAGAAAAGGTGCATGGAGTAGAGAGGAAGATGAACTTCTCAGGCAATACATTCAACAGCACGGTGAAGGAAAATGGCATCAGGTTCCTCTCAAAGCAGGTATTATTATTATTAGTTGAAAACACTGCTTGCTTGGTCTTTTTCTGTATGCAAGACGTGTCAAACTGTAATTTATTTATTCTATCGTAGGAGCGAGTAAGAGGGAGAATGAAAGTGAGAATGAGAGTAGAGATGGGATTGAGAAAGAACATGAGAGTGGAGGATGGGATGGATGAGTAACAAAAATGAAAATAAAAACTAAAAACTGAAATCTTTTTCAAATTGTTATCACTTTTGTGACTCCTCCTTCTCATTCTCTCTCTCTATCTCATCTTGACTCCCATTTTCACTCTCATTTTCCTCTATTCTCTAGCACAAAAAATAAAAAATGAAAACTAAAATTGAAATGGTTATCAAACGGGACCTAAATTGTTCTTTGTGGAGAATGTAGGAAGATTTTATACGTAGAAGTTTTATGAATTATATATGCAGGCTTGAACAGATGCAGGAAGAGCTGTAGACTGAGGTGGTTGAACTACTTGAGCCCAAATATCAAAAGAGGAGACTTTACAGAAGATGAAGTGGATCTCATGGTTAGGCTTCGAAAGCTTTTAGGAAACAGGCAAGTACATTCTGCACTTCTCTTTCGTAGCTAACTTGCTAGGAATGAAGGACTTTCTGTTCTTTTTGTTCGACTTGTTTGTGCTTTGCAGCTAAATCTAAGTACTTGCTACTCATCTTAGAAAACACAGCCAAATTAATACATACCCCAACCATATAAATCTTGAATAGTAATATCAAAATGAAAAAAAGAAAGAAAAAAGAATACCATAGCCAGAAGGAAAAGTAATATATATACGACAAATTATGTTATTTACTCAATATGATATATATAGAGTTTTTCTATATAAACTACACACTTTTCTTTGTTCTCCCCAATACTTAAATCATTAAGCTCTTAAATTTTATTATTATATAAAAAAACAAAAAATGTCATCCAACTTAATACTTAACTCTAGTTCATCTATATATACACACACCCCACCACTCTTCATATTAAATTTTAGAAAAACACAAACTTTTCTACACCCTATTACCAAAGATATGTCTACGATATGATTATGACTTTGCCGATATAGAAATCAAAATACTGCAGTAGGAAAATAGCTTTAATTGGTTTCGCATTAAGTAAAGCCTCCAAACCAGACTAGAAATCTGAGCGAATGATATCTAGTTGCGAACCATAGCTGCTTAAATAAGACTATGTCAATTGAAGGCTACAATCATCGTAGACATATCTCTGACTAAATTTTCTTTTAGTATGCCAGTTTGTTTGTTTGATAATGGTAACTTACATATTAATTTAACTGTCAAGATTTCTCTGTCAAAACCTCTTAGTTTATTCTCAATTTTTTAATAATAATAATAAAAAAAATAATACTGCTACACATTTGACAACTGTATTTTTATCTGTGAGGTTAAGACGAACTTAAAGTGGTAAGGGGCAAGATAGCGGGGTGTGGGGTGTGGGGTGTGAGGTTGATGAGTTTTTTATTTTATTTTTTCTGCTGGGTATGTATTTAGTGGTAGTTTGGGAAGATAGTGAAGTTTTCTTAGAGCACCTCCACCCCAAAGGGCAAGGCAAAGGCAAGGCAAGGTTTGTCACTATTCATGTGAATAGTGGCAGCCTTGCCTTTTTTGGTTCCACCCCAAAGGGCAAGGGCAAG